GTTTGTTTTTGATAATGTGCTTACAAAGACTTGGGAGACCTCTGAAAGCTACTTTCTGTTCTCAGTCTACCAATTCTTGTGTTCCCTGTTTGGATGGAAGTCCTTGTAGCAAGACCTGGAGTTCTCTGAGCTGCAAGAGAACCATCTCACCATCTAGACTCTTCATAAGCTTTGAGCTGAAAAGGTATTACGTAGTCTTTGAAATAAAATTACTTCCTCCTTCTACAAAATAATTTTTAATTCTTCAAGATCTACACTGTCCTGCTACTCTCTAGCTGCCCACAAGGTCTTCCCAGTAGACAGGGCCTTACCACTTGCGGTGAGCAAGTACCTGTAAGAGCACAAGAGGTGACAATGCACCGCCTGCAGTCAAACCTACTACAGGTGTGAGCTCTTATCAAAACCTCTCCAGCCTGCTGCGACTAAGCGAGCAGCCTGGATAGACTTTCTGGTGTGCACTAACGCGTGCAGTCTCCCCCACGGGCAGAACAGTTACACTTTTTCTCTGCTACCGGCTATTTTTGAAAAAAATCACTGGGGTTTTATCAGCTATGAAACATCTCTCTGTCATCAAATGTGTATGATATCAGGCTAGTGGGTTTCAAAATGTAACAGGAAAGAGCGAGATATCACGACTGCATCAATCTTGCTCCCTTAGGAAGCTAAGGTAAGAAGAGATTATGCGGGGAGTGGAAAAGGAAAAAAAACCCCAAACTTTAAAAAGACCCATGCATCTTTTAGGTAGACAGGGCATAGAAGTCCTTTTTTTTCCTCTTTCTGTTTAATCTTCTTCCAGTAAGGCTATTGATCAATTTTAGTCTTGTTTATTGTTGTCCTCTGATTTTACACACACCAAGGAAGCTATAATTTTATACAGTTTCTAAATGTGAAGATTCTTTCACATTTTAGCCATCTAAAAGTCTCAGTTTCCTTCAGGTTACCCTCAAATACTGGGAGGTAATACTGGGTGATTCAGCAGCAGGCAGACAATGCTACATCATCGCTGTAACAGCAATGGGGAGGCTGACAGGGGCAAAAAATGTAAGTCATCCTGGAGCAACCCATCCCTTCTCATCAAAACAGATGAAATGTAGGTACCCATCTCTCTTTACTGTTGTAAGGGTCATCTGGTTAGGATTACATGCCTAGCTCTTAGCCAGCAGCTACCCGGGTTGAACCCCATGCAAAGTGTATCTATCTGAGGGAGGGGAAAAAAAGAAAAGGTGGATAAAAGGAAAAACAGAGATGGAAAAACCATGCCTGCAAAACAAATTTAAGAGGTTAGAAAGTAAGCAAGAGAGCAAAGCACTGCTTTTACACTGTGATATAAAATTTTAGCTGTGAATTTGACCAGTCTGATTTATTTGTGAAGACACATACCCCTCCTTCCCGCTGCAAAAAAAAACATTGCTGAAAATGTTACAGAAAGTTCCAGGTTTCAGGGTTGTTTGGGTTTTTTTGATGCTTGAAATTTCGATGCATTTCCAGCTGGAATGTTTTTTCGTCTATAATTTTGTAAGATATTCTAAAAACACGCCCAGCACATTCTTTAAAGCCAATGTCTCCAATTAAGTTTGCTTCAGGTAAATAAGACCATTTGCCTTATTTTACTGTTCACAAACAGTGATCAAGAAGCAAAAAGGTCATTCAGATGTTTTTTTAAATAATTCTCTTAAATCTTGGCATGCAGAGGAAACAGAATTGCTGACTACCTCTTAGAAGATATTTAGACCACTTTCTCAAATCTGTTTTGCAAAAATCATAACCAAAAGTTTGTCTAGGGTTAACATCATAATGTTAAGAAAAAGGAGAAATCTGGAAAGCAGAGATGAAACAGCAAGTTAGTCAGTATTTCCTCCACTTTCAGGAATCACAAAAGGCCAATTATAGTAATTCCTCAAACAAAACTTAAAAGAAAGAAACCCGAAAACCCGTAACTTCTCTACTCTCACTAAGCAAATATGAAGACAAGATAGCCAGACAAGCATGAGCTACAGTACTAGCATACACTATCTCAAATTCTTACACGTGCATAGATTTTCTGAACCTGAACTTGCACAGGCCTGCAGTGAGCATTTATTTTGAAGATTATTGAAGTCAGAAGATCTCATCAGTTGAGTGAAACTCTAGCAATTAATATTTAGGAATTATTTTGCCAAGAATGCCTAGGGAATTTCCACAAGTAGACCTTAAAACACAGAAAAGAAGGCATTATCCATTACAAATGAAGACGGGAGGCTGCTTTTCTTCTCAAAATTAAAGCAACTGAATCTAGTATTTCTTGACAGATACACCAGTTCTGCAAAATGACAAAAGTGCAGCTTAGTTTTTGAGCCTACTGAACTTAACACTCCTCTTTTACAAATGTTTTGCCAGAGGCTAAAGAAAACTGAGTACAAGTATATCTGTCTAACGTATTTGGACCTTCGACTCCAAAAAACACAGGTATGCACAGGAATACTTTCATGCAAGCATTTCAGAAGCATTTACCTATGGCAGGCTGAGGGCTAGATTCATACAAGTATTTGGGTGCTTAGATGCTTGAGACACCACTCTGCCATCATCTACCCCTACAGGTACCAGTTTTCTCCTAATTGCTTAGTTTTCCAAATAAAACCTATAAAACAACAAGTCATTTGTAAGGGATGCATGCCTAGGGGCTGATATGCTCTGTGCCAGACTCAGTGGGACTCTCAAATGAAGCATTTCCAGATGGAAACGTGGGGTTTCAACATGGCGTGTTCTTCACTGTAGGGCTCAATTCAATGAATCTTCAGCCCTGGACTGGAGCGCACACGAAACCAGGTAAGGTCTCTCACGCAGCACTGACAAGTTGGTCCTCAACTGAAACGTGGGACAGAAAAGTTCAAATCCTTCCTCTGTCTCTTCTGGAGCAGGAACTTTAACTCTTCCTTCCCTCACAGAAAATTCCTTAAACACTGCGTGCTCAAGATGAAGGAGGCAGAGGGAAAGGAATCTTTTAAAATGTCCTATTGAAGCTATTGCCATTTCATAAAATATGTACAATATTAGTAAGACAATAAACAGTTTGAAAATATTCCCACAGTGCATTGGTTCACATTTTACACAAGTGACCAAAATGACAATCCCTTTCTGCACACTTCAAATCATGTATGATGTCCTCACCACAGGAGGCAGAAAGACCTGGACCCCAGAGCACTCAGAA